GCAAAAATTGCGTGGCAAGAAAATTGCATAGAGAAAATCGAGTCACGTTTTCTTGCAAGATTCCCAGACGTTGTAAACTGAACAACTTTATTGGCAGCTTAAGAACAGCGATTGTTAACGGCCTCTAAACTTGTTGAAAACCGAGTGAACTTTTAAAGGAAACACGCGGTAGAAAAATCTAAAGACGTATTAAATAAGTGCTTTTTCCTTTCGTAATAAAATTAAACGTTTCTACAAGATTAGACGTTGTTATGAATATGCGATGCTCTGCTTGGTATACATATTAAATGAAAATAAGTTTCGTAACAACCTTTGTTTTCTCGTTTAATTTTCCGTTGCTTCTTTAAAAATTCGCTCGTTATTCTTTGCACATTGTTTCCTTTTAAATTTTAGATTCGACGAAGTTTCCAATTAACAACTTCTACTTCTTGAACAAACTGTGTTACTTGAATTATGTTCCGATTCATAAATTATTCGTATTTGCTTTCCCGGTTTATCAATTAGTTTTCTTCATTTTCCTGATTCATTTATTATTTTCATTTATTCCCTTTATACATTATTTTTCATTTATTTTCGTTCGTGATTTATACGTTATTTTCGTTTCGGATTTATACATTACTTTCATTTATTTCCGTTTCTGTTTTATGCATCGGTATCTGATTTATAAATCGTTATTTTTTATTTCTCGTTTATAAACCATTCGTCGTTTATTTTCGTTTCTATTTCATAAATCGTTATCGTTTCTGAATTGTAAATTTATTTTCGCTTTCGATGCACAAATTATTTCTCCGTTTACGAATTATTTTCATTTCTGTATCATAAATTACGTCACTTCTTCTTCAAGTAGGACGATCGTTTAATAAACGTCGATAATTACCTCGGACGCGTTGAATTTGTTGAAAGTTTTATACCGTTTATCCTAGCATTCTCGGGCGGATAAAAGATTCTTCTGATTAATGAGCCCGCGGTAATTAAAGGCCGGTCTTATTTATTCAATTTCTCGTCTGTGCACAGCCATGATTTATCTTCGAAATTAGAATGCACTGTACGGTCTGACACGCGGAGTCTTTTGAAAGACAAAAAGGCCCGCCCTACGACCGAGCATATTTCTCGGTTGCACACGTACCTCGTCTCTCCGTGATGCTAACCTGAACCTATATGTATACGTGCGTCATGGATTATGCAATACGTGAGATATTTCTGTAGAGGGATCTCTTGTTATATCTGAGGAAGAATGCTACCAGATCTCCCATTGCATTCGCATGACTCTCCTCATGTATCCAGGAAAAAAATACTCCGTTTACTTCATTGATTCCCGTCCTGTTAAAACACGACATTTTTCTTCATTTTATATCATTGATTTATTCTCAGCATTTTTTTAAATCAATTTTCATTAGCATAAGAAGTTTAATGTAGCTTTGTGATATTTGCATTTGATGATGAACTTAATGACGCACTTGATGACGCACTTAATGACGCACTTCATGATGCATTTGATGTTGCATTTAATGATGCTCTTAATAATGCATTTGATGTTGCACGTAATGACGCATTTGTTGACGCACTTCATGATGCACTTCATGATGCACTTCATGATGCACTTGATGTTGTATTTAATGATGCACTTAATGTTGCATTTAATGATGCACTTAATGATGCATTTGATGTTGCACTTAATGAAGCACTTGATGACGCACATAACAATACACTTCATGATGTACTTCATGATGCATTTGATGTTGCATTTAATGATGCACTTAATGATGCATTTGATGTTGCACTCAATGACGCACTCGATGATGCACTTCATGATGTACTTGATGACCCATTTAATGATGCACTTCATGATGCACTTAATGTTGCATTTATTGACGCACTTAATGACGCACTTAAGCTTGCACTTGATGTTGCACTTAATGTTGTACTTAATGTTGCACTTGACGTTGCACTTGATGATACACTTGACGTTGCACTTGATGATGCACTTGACGTTGCACTTGATGCAGTTGACGTTAAACTTGATAATGAACTTGATGATACAGTTTATGATGCACTTGACACATTTACTAATAAACTTGCTAATCATCATAGAACAATTTTAAACAATACTTAAAACAGTATAATAGTAACACTAATTTTAGTGATACTAATAATAATAGTACAATAATAATTTCTTGAACAATAATAATTGATCAGAACAATAAAAAAACAATAACAAATATAAAAAACAATATTATAGTAATTTAAAACAGTATTAAAGAACAAGATAATAATCACTCGATCAAGGAAGATGAATGAGACGTCAATTCCGACGCTCATAAATGAAAATAAAATGTTTAAACAATTCTCTAGTTGGTTCTATAGAAACAGCGTCGTCGGTCGGTAAAAATCTCCCATCAGGAGATGAAGTTTGATCATTTTAATTGCAAATCGGAGGAACTTAAACAAGCACCTCATGGCATAGAATTTTTTTGCTCGCTCGAACGGTTTGAAAGATTTTATTTTTTGGAAATTTAACTTTAAATTGGACTTGTGTAAATTTGCTCGAGTCTTTTATCTTTTGCCTGACTGAACATGAAAGATTACTTGTTTTGTGATGGATAAAATACGAATAGGATTTGCATTAAACATGCGTCAACAGTTTATAAACAGAAATATAATACAGCCTTTTACAAAATTTATAAAATATTTTTCTAAATGTGCAACATTCTACAATTTCTCTGGTGACTTTGATACTTAACATCGTCAGATTTGCAATGAAATGAAGATATTCGTGTCCATAATTTATTTAAGAATATCATATTCCCTTAAGCGTAATTTCAACATTTTAGTTCATCAAGGAGAGAGCTCGTTTAAGGACGGCCATTTCCCGTTGAAAAATGCACGTTTGAAAAACGGTAGCCAGGTAATTCGAATTTCACTTCCATTTCTGGTCAGCAAGCTGGTTTTGTACGCAACAATACTCGTTACCGCGGTATACTCGTGTTTCGTCCTTATTTCTCGACTTTCATCCTGTTGGTTCCTCGTCCAACGCTGGCTGCTAAAATTAAAACAGCCCCTGGTATAATGAAGTTAAGGTTTCGGCACATTTCCGTGTTCCTCTCTCGCTGTATAGCCGCAAAATGAACGGCAGAAAGGAGGAAAGAAAGAAAAAGAAAGTTGTAGGTAAAGAAGCGAGAGCAGAGGAGAGAAAAAGGTTCAGATTCCTCTGACCCGGGTATATCTAGTATATCTAACCGTGTTCTGGATGTTCAACGGTTGCTATACTTCGACTTGAGCACCGGTTACCATCGTTAGCTTGTTTCTTTTCTCCTTCACGAAGATGTGTACGTTCTGAATTCTTGCAAAAGTTCCTTCTCATATCTGAACTTCTATTATGCTTCGAAATTCATTGGACATTTATTTATCCTTTCAGAAAATTTCTCATTTTAAAATTTTAATGTTTCATATTCATTTTTAAATTTATAATTACACATGATAGAACATACAAAAAAACAACACAGTTTTGTATAAATATTTAATTACATCGTACAAGTAACCTAGCATAAATACTTCAGATTGTTTAATTTTACTGCTGTGCAATTTTATCACCTTTTCCGAGTGTTTTTAAGTATTTTATGTTGGTTGAATACAAGAACATATTTAGCTCGTCAGAAGTTTTTATAGAATATATAACATTTACCTCTTCAGAAGTTTTAAATGTTAAAAGAATATATCATATCTAAAAGTACCAGCGTTTTACAATTCTGTATCGTATGAATAATATTTTGCATAAATTGTTTTTGCATAAACCGCTTTTTGTTGACTATAAGATGCTTTTGACTGTGAAGGACGCTCATTGTGTGGGTGATGAATGTATTCTGCTTGTCTGGCAATGTAATACGGGTATTCCACTTGTCTGATTCTCAATTGCTCTGATTCTACATGTCTGACTACCTACAACTACCACATTGTTTGTCTATCCATCAACTGGTCTTTTATTCTACTTTCAAGATCAAACACATCTGGTCATTTAATCCTATATTAATGTATAATGAACTCAAATTTAATTATTCTACTCTGTACAAGGGATGTGAATCATAATGAAGTGATTAGTAAAGTAGTAATGTGTCTTGTTACATATTTGTGCTACACATATCACATGTTCATTATGTGGTACTTAATGTATTAAATAAATGTGTTACATATTAAAGATTATATTTATTATTAAACAAGATCTATTAGTAGTGATCAATTTTTAGTGAACAATTATCTAAGGTCAAGTCTTAATGAATAATTACAAATGGCCAATAACCAATGACCAATAAGCAATGACCAATGACTAATGATCAATGACCAATGACCAATGACCAATGACCAATGACCAATGACCAGTGACCAATAACCAATAATCAATAACCAATAACCAATGACCTATTACCAATGACTTATCACTGAGGACCTATAACCAATGACCTATCACCAATAACCAATAACCAATGACCAATGACCAATGACCAATGACCAATGACCAATGGCTAATGACCAGTGAACAATGACCAATGGCCAATGACCACTGACCAATGGCTAATGACCAGTGAACAATGACCAATGGCCAATGACCAGTGACCAATGACCAATGACCAATGACCAGTGACCAGTGACCAATAACCAATAATCAATAACTAATAACCAATGACATATTACCAATGACTCATCACTGAAGACCTATAACCAATGACCAATGACCAATGAGCAATGACCAGTGACCTATAACCAATAACCAATAGCAATAACCAATAACCAATAACCTATTACAAATGACTTATCACTGAGGACCTACAACCAATGACCTATCATCAATAACCAATTACCAATAATCAGTTATCAATTACCAATTATAAATTACCAACTACCAATAGAAAATGACGAATAGTCAATACCCAATCACCAAAAATCACATCTACATCCTCTATAACCTAACTCTCAATACTAACTTAATTCATGTTTCTCGAAAATAGATAACCGAAGGTGGATGTCGAACAGAAATCACGCGGAAGAAAAGAGTATAAAAATGTTGGGAAAGAATCGTTGAACGAGCACGAGGAGCAAGACCTACCAAAAAGAGAAAACAATCGCAGCGTGAAAGGTTAGTAACATATAGTTAAGCGTCCCTAGGAACACGGAATGACGTCGAGCAGTTCCTAAATTCTCTTAAGCCCGTTGAGTGAAAAAGGGAAGACCGAGAAAGTACTTCCCTGATTTGTTAATACCCACTGGATTTTATGGTGGATTTAGTCGGCGGATGTTTCTCAGTGATTTATTTTCGATCGCGCGGTACCGGGTTAATGGATTTTTCGTACCGTCCTACCAGCTGTAACGAGATAAAATGCTTTTAATGTTCGTTCGGATACCGCTCCGGATAGTTTTCGTTCCACCGAATTCACGTTTCTTGTACATTCTCGCGTGTAGACGATTTTCGTTACATCTGTTCTGCGTTTATTGCAATTTTTCTTCCAAATTACATATTTTGATATCGAATATGGAATTGCGGGTTCGTTCATTTTAATCGGGTGCATTTTACAGGAGTCAATTTTATGATTGACGCAGTTAATATTAACAGACCTCATTTAATCATTAATATTGAATCATAAAATTGATCATACAATTTACATCGATCATATAAGATTTTAATGTGCAAGAACTATAATTTTGAATCTAACCAAAAAATTTCCTGCAAGTCAGAACGCATAAAACTGCCGAGTTTAACAATCCCATTGTGATTTCGGTATAAACGATCAGCGTTGGAGATCATGAAAGGATCTTAATAGGAAAAAAGTCGCATCCGTCTCCGTTGAAACGGTCGATTCGTTGCCCGAAGCCGTAACCTGACAGGGAAACGGAAACGTCCCGACAAAAACACGAATAATCGGCGTGCAACGTCGGTCGGAAACGGAAGAGCCGTGGAAATGCGGTCGACGATGCGACGCGATGCGAGCTACCGAGAGAACGCAGAAATCGAAAATATAAACCGGCTTCATAAGTCAAGCATCCGCCACGTCGATGCATTACGTGGGCCATTCCCGAGGGAGGATCGATGCTGCGGCTCACTCTCAAGGGGTTGGTAGTTAGTGGCGTAATTTTGCCGGAAACGGCTGCGTCGTTTACCGTGGTGAAACACATTCGTCACTCTCCCCGCTTTCGTTGCTCCATTTTTCCTCCACTTTAACCCGCTCGACTCTTCGCGTCCGAAAACCTGGTCAATTTTCTTTCCCTGTCATCGTTTAACCCTTAACTTGTTTTTATCGATGCTGTCGGGTTTTTCTCGTTCGTTCGGATATAGCTTAACTTAACTCGTGTTAATTGTTTATTCACATACGTACTCGTAACGATTCCATGACGTACTCGTGACGCACTCGTGATGGATCCATGACACGCTCGTGACGCACACATAAGGAATCCATGACACACTTGTAATGCACTCGTGATGAATCCATGACACACTTGTGACGCACTCGTGATGGATCCACGATGTACTCGTGACGCACTCGTGATGGATCCATGACATACTTGTGACGCACTCGTAATGAATCCATTACGCACTCGTGACGCACTCATAAGGGATCCATGACACACTTGTGATGCACTCGTGATGAATCCATAGCACACTTGTGATGCACTCGTGATGAATCCATGACACACTTGTGACGCACTCGTGATGAATCCATGACGCACTCGTGATGCACTCGTGATGGATCCATAACGCACTCGTGACGCACTCATAAGGGATCCATGACACACTTTTGACGCACTCGTGATAGATCCAAATAAAAATATGAAAATAATATTAAATAAAAATCGAAGAGTAATATCAAATCTTAAGAAATATGAAAAGTTACATGGAACTGGGAATTTGATTCCGTTTTGCAATAAGTCGTACACTTTCATTCGACAAGAATGATTCGTTACTTCGACCTAAAAGTCTTGATTTAAGAGGAGAAGCTAGAAGACGTTACAGGACTTTGTTAATTCAATATGTACGCTCCCGATATAAATCACGCGATCGTGGAAATATTTTTTTCGACGGCAGAGGAACGAAATACATCCCGTAAATGAGATACCGGGCGAACTGCAGCAGAAATCCACGGATCGTTGACAGAGATTCATGACCGCGTTGAAAAGAACGAACAATTAGTCAGCGACATTTCACGATAAATATCTACCGGCGGACTGATACATTTTCTACCAATTAATTCGCCGATATCTGATTATTTATTGCGTCGGGCTCCAGCTTTCAAGTAGCAACAATAAATTTCGTTGCGGCCACACTGTATTCCCACGAACGTGATTAACATTTTTGGCCAGCGTTGTATCGGTGGCGAGTGAAATATTTTTATGCTTTTTCCTATGACTTGCGTGGATAAAAATATTAATCTTTTTAATTCGTCGGAGTTAGAAATAGAAATTTTGGGAATTTATGAGACACTGGTGATTTGTGGGGAAGTTCAAATTTTTAGTGACAGGAAATAAATATCTTTTTATTCGCTATGTATAATGGCAACATATATTGTAGATATATTGAGGTATATATTTATATTTTAAATGCTTTTCATATTTTTGTTAATATCTTACTTTATTATGCAGGTGTATGAAGGTATCTATTTACACTGTAAATGTTTATTTTATTGTTAGTACTTGACTTCATTATAAATACATAAAGATATCCAAAGTTATTCACAGTGTATATGTTTCACATAATAAAAATTCAGTACAAAATACATCTAGCAAAATAAATTAAAATTATTTGTCAAATATATGATTTACTAACGAGACATATAATTTTGACAAATTTTCATTTTGCAAATAATTTGATTTGAATAAGATTGTCAAAAGAAACGTGATGTGCATAAATACGAGCAGATGCTGATTGGGGATCGGATAGTTTGCAGTTACTTTCTGCTTTCTGTTCGTCGTGACGTATCATAATTGACGGATCACGAATGATGTATTGTGATCGACGTGCTATAAGTCCATGAGAACGTCGAACGCTGAACTGAAACCCGTAATTGCGGATTCCGGAATTAAAAGTGGACGCCCGAAGGGAGATTTCTAATAAACTTCTGACAGATTGATAGGAGCTGAAATCGATTCATTCATAATATTATCATAGTTGCGCTAGAAATGTTGATGAAAGTATTAATGAAATCATATCGTTAATTTAGAGAGAAATAATTTTTATGTGAACGATTTTTGTAAGAAAATAAAGTAAGAGAAATTAAATGATATCTGTGAGAGTACAAAAATTTGCCCTGTAAGAAGTATTGATTAGGAAACTGTTCAAACAACAATCTTCCATGTCACCTCGATATGAAGTGGCCTTACGAATCATCAGAAACTCGAATGCTTTTCCAACGGACTGAACAAAAATAATTGGACTTTAATAAACGAAGCTCAGTCTGTTTGTGATTGTCCTATTTGAGCTTCACAAATATAGACATTTCGAACATTGAACACGAACATTGTAAAACTTGTTCTCAAATAAAATCCTGAAACATTATTTCAATGAAACATAATTTAAAAAAAACGATCTCCGTTATTTTCTTAATATTACTACTCGTAAAAGTTTAAAAACGTCTCTCTTAAAATTGAAAAATTCATATAACACTGTATTAATATTGATACAGGTATATTCCCATAATATTCTGTTCACAAGTGACGATCGAGTAACTGACTAATTAAATTACAAAATATTGATGCAAGGCAGAATAACGTGATATTCTCTATCGATGCGAGTACACGCTCATAATTTTCTGTTCACAAGTGACAATCGAATAACTGGCAACGACTAATTAAATTACAAAATATTGATGCAAAGCGGAAAAACGTAATATTCTCTGTTTATTCTGTCAGCATCGAAGAATGCATCGACGGTTCACACAAATACAAAGTGCAATATCGGTCCGCCGACCCTTTTTGTTTATCTTCTTCGCGCAAATGAACGTAAATAAACTAGGCTGGCCTATATTTGCCCAACTGAATTATTCGAAATACGGCAGAGGCACGTATTTAAACCGCTTGACGGTATAAACATTCAAATGAAATAATTAAGGGCGATGTAAATCCAACGGCGTTTTTCCCTCGGGATACACGTGCAATTGAAATTGTGTTCCGTCAGCTTTGCAGATTGAAATACTGCAACTGGGCTCTTTCATTGCTTTTTACGTAGACGTTTTCATACGTGCATTGACGGTTAATTAGTAATTAACGTGTAATTTTATCTGCGGTTTCGGTGCATTCAATCGTAAATCTGTACATTAAAAACAAACGAACTCGAATAACATATTGAATAAACAAGTGCATTATAAAAAGTATAACACATTCTTTGAAACTTCATTATATTTACAAAAATTAAAAAATATAAATTTTACTAATCAAAATTTTTACTCATCTTTTGTTTATTATGACTTTCTGTTAATGAACAGTATTCATTAACTAAATGAAAGTCTGTTATTTTGTTACCTTTTTATTTCAGTTTTCTTTAAAAGAATATTTGTATATACTGTCAAATAATCTGTCTACTTTAAAAATTTAATTTTTCATAGTGCAAGTTTGCTGTAGCTGTACGTGTAACATTTTTATGTTTCTGTAGATTTGTTCATTTGTAAATATTTATTAGTATATTCTTTTACATGGACATATACATGTATGTACATATGTGTACGTGTATACATACATATATGCATATACATGTATGTACATACATGTCTGTTCATATATATAAATGTCTACATATATGTATGAACACGTATGTACATATATATCCATGTATGTACATTTCTACATACACGTATGAACATGTGTGTACATGTATGAACACTATGTACTTATGTGTCCATATATGTACATGTCTACATACATGTAAGAACATGTATGTATGTCTGTCCATATATGAACATGTTTACATACATGTAAGAACATGTATGTATGTCTGTCCATATATGTTCATGTCTATATACATGTCTGTCCATATATAAACACGTCTCCATATCCGAAAAATTGTTGCGGAAGTAGCAATTTAGCAAGAATATCAGTCGCGCGCTTTATAATGGCGTCGAGGAACCACAGCAAGCATCGACATCTTGAATCCGT